TAGGGAAAAGAAAGAGAAGACAAGAATGACTCCCAGTTTTCTGGCTTGAGCAGCTCAGTGCTTGTTGATGCCATTTGTTGTGATGGGAAAGATAAGGATAGAATTTAGGAAGGAGTACATCTGGTGGGGATTGGTAATGGAGTTCTGTATAGACATGTTTATGGTGTCAGTGAAATCCAAGCAGAGATAACCAGCAAGAAATTGACAATGCCTATCTGAATCTAGGAGAAAGATCTGAACTAGAGCTAGAGATTTAATATTTATCATTGTATGGATGGTGGCTGAAATCCCTGGAGTATAGAAAACCACCCTGGGAGAGGCCTACACTGAGAAGAAAAGTGGAATGAGGACAGAATGCTGGGAGATCCCAATCAAAGTAGGAAAAGAACTAGGAAAGGATAGCATAACATTCAAGGGAACAGAAAGTTTCAGGAGAGAAGGTGGTGTCTTATATAGCAGGGCCATCATGGAAGATAAGGAATGAAAAATATTCATTGGATTTGGCAACAAGTAACTTAGTAGTGATTAGTGTCAGCAATAGGGCCAGCCCACAGATGTCTGAGGAGTGAGAGGGGCAAATATTTGTCATGAAATAAGGCACAAAACTTAAGTGCAGGCAGTTGGAGCAAGGCCTAGCCACCCAAGGAGGTGATATACAATATGAGCTTTCATGTTGGAGAAGTAGAGCAAAGACATTGGTGTGTGTTGTACTGGCTAGTCAGGAGAGGGACATGAGGGGAACACAAGGAGGAGGAAAGATGTACATTGCAATTTCCTAATTCAGGAGAAAATGGAAAGGTTTCTTGGTAGCCATGGCACCAGTCAGCTGACACAGGGAATGCCAGATGTTTGCAGGAGAATAAATTGAAGGACTAGTTGTTAATGCATCTGGGTTCTGGAATTCATGGGAAACACATTTTGTGGCAGTGGAACAGCAGGATGCAGGCAGGAGATAAGGAATTAAGAAACCTGGGCTCAGTTTCACATGAAACTCAGGCTAGCTTCATAAACTCTCAAGCTAGGCATAAAATGGGGGACAAACAGCCTTTCCCTAGAGGGCAATCCAAACATTCCCCATGGTTTTGGATTATCCGTGATAATGCTTCTTTAGATGGCATGGATAATTAGGAGGTCACCATGTTTTAGATAAACACCAGAACAATGTTCAAACAGGGAAAACTCTAAAAGAGTATTGAGGAATACTAGGCTCAGAAGAAAACAAACTGCCCCCTCCTCCCACCCCCAACTTCAGACAAACACACGCTGATGGAGTATAATGCAGAGATAGCTTTCATAGCTAGTAGGGCAAAAAAAGAAGTGTTGGAAATGTCAACCTAAAATGTTTTGTTTAATCAAGTGGCAGGGGAAAAAATACCAGGGAAGAGAACAACCCGAAAGAATAGTTCTTCCAGATAATAACACCTACTCCTAAGAAAGAAAAGTGAAAGTCATATGTTAAGTTCAAATCTGAACATCTGGGTGAAAACGTCTTTATTTAACACTATGAGGCAGTTCATTTTTAAAGATTGCCATTCTCTTAAAGTTGGCTAAATAAGGTTTAGCCACTAGCAGGCTGGTGACCTTGGGCAAGTCATTTACCAGTTTCTTTATTTGTTGCATACATACAGGATTACAGCCCCTGAAAGATGTTTTGGAAACTGCAAAGCAGTGCACCAACATTAGGTAGGGACTTTTACCAGGCAGGGCATACCTTTGAGAAATCGGTTTGAGATAGCTTCAGCCAAAAACAGCTAGATTGCAGTTTTGCAGGAGTGCTAGGTGTTGTGTAAAGGTCCTAGTCCGTTCAAGAGGACTTTGGCAAAGAAAAAGTACACACTGCCCAGCAAGCTGTGCGCTTGATGTTTCCCCAAGGCAGGGGACAGGCCTGCCAAGGGCTACAGCATATCTCAGGGGTGACCCAATGTTCCGTTCCGCTCCCAGCTCAAGAGAAACAGCTTGAAATATAAATGGGGCCCTCTGCTCAGCTAAGGAAAACAGTCCCAAATCTTTCTGAAATCTGCCCACAATTTCAGATTTCAGAGGGGCTGTCCTGCAGGATCAATAGTGCTGGGGCCAGTTTAAACAATTCTGCTTGGCCCTGGGAACATCGGAGGAAAGGGAGGATAACTAAGCAGGACCTAGTTGTGCTTCAAGCATCCACGTTCATGGTTTTCTGCATGAGCATAGGTCTTATCTATTTGGGAAATAGGACATTCCTGCTCTCGACTCATGAAATATGGCTTGGTCTGGTTCAGTAACTTTGACAAGCATTCTTTGAAACTTTAGACTTTGCAAATACATTTTTAGGAACATATTTGACAGTGTGGAGTCTGTGTCTTTTAAATATTGAGGGAAAAATCTGTGCAGTGATATTCTAATTTCCTCCATCCCCCACCCCCTCAGCCACTCAGATGTTTTCAAAAGAGAAGCCAGACTAAGGTTCCAGATGTTTGAAACCTAAATGAGGGCTCCTCATGAAATAAATCTACTGCCCTCCATTTCCAGAGATCAAAATCTTAGCCAGGGGTTTAACAATGAGGTCACTGTAGGCATGTTTGCCTGGTGTAGGACTGACGTCCGATCAGATATATAAGATTTTATACTTTTAAAGGCTCCCCAACCCAACAAACAGCCCAGAGCTTCTCAGTTTCCTGGTTGTTGTGTCTAACTGCTTCTCATCCTGCCACAATCCATCGGGAAATGTCCCTTTGTGTCAAACCTTAAATCTCACTTGCACCGATTTGGGTCATTTTTATTTGCTGCATCTTTGCAGAGGTAAAGTAAGCCAATAAGAATCATCAGTGAGGAAAGTGGCTAGAGAATATGTCCAGGAAATTCACAGAAGAAATGTAAATTTCCCGGTAATATGTGAAAAGACACTTAAACTCAGGGAATTAGAATGATTTTCACTCATCATATTAGCAAAAATATCAAGTGTTGGCAAGGGTGTAGAAACATGGGCATTTTTGTACAATGCTGATGGGAATATAAATTGCAGAATACTTTGTAGCTTAATTTGGCAGTGGCTTTGAAGGTTAAAAATGTCTATTACCCTTCTACCAGGTAATTATGATCCTTAGTGTCTATGCTAGAGATGTATCTATGCTTGAGCTAGTATCTATGCTTGAACACAAGGAGGCCTGCTCAAAGATTTTCACTGTAGCTCTGCCATTTTACAAATAGCAAAAATTTAGAAACAACCTAAGTAGCTGTCAAAAGGGGAATGGCTGAATTAAACTATGGGGTAGAGACAAATATCTTAAGGACACGTTAAGTTTACAAAAAGGGCCCAGAATAAATAATTAGAATTCTATTTTGGACAAGAAAATCAGATAATGAGACTATTTTTAGACATATGTGTACATATCTCTCTGATTATATATGGAGAAAGATAAGAATGACAGTAGTGGCACTGAGAGAGCATCAAGGGAGATTTTTGCTTTGTCTATACTGCTTGCATGTTGTTCAAGAATGCATTCATATATTTATTGTGAATTTTTTTTTCTAGAATGTCTCAGAGGTAAGGGTATGGATCTTGGTGGCTACAGTGAGAGGCAGCAGTAGGTAAGTTGGTGACGTAAATAGATGAGAAATCAAAGGACCCAGATAAAGGCCTGGAATCTGTCATCACTTTGCTATGTGATCCCAGGAAGTAATTTTCCTTCTGAGTCTGTTTCCTCTGTACAATCAACGAATAATATGTGAAGCTTACTAAGAGACCTTCCCTTTCTCATATTTTACGATTCTCTAAGTCCATGTCTTTAATCTAGAATAGGTCTGGTCCCCTTTGATGAGAAGATGGATTTTTATTCTCTTCCTTCAAATTCTGGCATAGTTTGACATTTCACTTTACCCCAAATATGAGATAATGAAAGAGAAGGTGGAACAGTCATTGTGTTCCCTGTTTGGCTATGGATTTGAAAGTTTGGTTGACCTATTTATACTACTACCTTCTTTTGACAGTATAAGCCCTTAGGCTTGTTTGAGTGTGATGAGAGTGCATTCACAATGCTAGAAATGGGAAGTTATGAACTCTGTAGGATGGCCATTAATCCTGGAAACACACCCACACACACACACACACAGACACCCACACCCACACAGATGGAGCATCCCTAATCCAAAAATCCAAAATCTAAAACGCTCCAATGAGCATTTCCTCTGAGTGTCACATCAGTGCTCAGGAAATGGTGGATTTTGAAACATCTCAGATTTCAGATTTTTGAATTAGGGATGCTCAACTTGTGTATGTGTCTAATTTTTTTTTCAGATTGAACCCCTTTCAACACTTTTCCTGGGTTATACTAAAAATGCATTTTTTCAGTGAAAATCATAGATACAAATATCTAGGGGCTATGCATATTCAGGAACTGATAGAAGTGCTGTGTCAATGCACTGAGTTCATTGCAATTTGCACAACAATTTGAACTGTGCATTGCTAATGAGAGACAATACATGGACTATGTCACAACATTTTAAAACGTATCCTATGTTGTAATGTAATACCTATAAACCATTCTTTATGTATCGTCACCTATATTTCTGGACTTTATGGCTACCCTGTTCTCTTGAGTCTATCACTAACAAGCAGGGTGATTTTGGACAAGTCACATCCACAGTCTGTAGATAACAATTGGAACACCTGTTCCCCAGACTGGGAGGGAAGAATCAAGTGAGCTATGAAAATTTACACTTATCTACAAACATCGTCACAATCTGGCTCTCTACAACCTAATTGGCTTTTGGAAAAACTCCAGATGAAACTCTGGGGAAACCTTGGCATTAAATGAATGAAGGAAACCTCTTCTTGGTACCTCAGAGACTTTGACCAATCTAACTCTGACTATCATCACTTAGCAAAGCTCCTTCCAGCTGGTCCTCATCACTTTGCTTGTTCCATGAGGTCATAAGAGTAAATTCTAAGCAGTTTATTTCTAAAGAAAACAGATAACGGCTCCCATGCAACTATTTGTCTTTCAACAATGAAATAAGCAACTTACTCTCGCTCCTTTCTCAGGAAAACACTGACAGCTCCCACTGCAGTCTTGGCCCCCACACGGCTTTCCATAAGACTTCTCTCCCTATTAAAAAAAGGAAAAAGTTAATAAACCATGTGAACCAAGAAGCAATGTTGTCCCAGCAAACCTAACTCTTCGCTTCTTTACCAAGTAAATCTTTCGCGGCTTAATGATCTTATCTGATGTTGTCAGTAATCAAATGAAATAAAAACTAATCTTAAGCTAGCATCCTTTCAGGTCAGGTCTATACGACATCAAATAAATAGCCGGTTTTGGAACTTTACTTTAGATACCTGCTCACTGGTAGAAATTTCAGACACAATATACAACAGAATTACTTGGGGGCTGGAAATAGACTCTAGACATATTCCTGTGAAAACAGGTGTCCAGTGACTTATGGATTTGCACTCATTGATAAAATGTAGCTATAGCAGATAACTTGAATGGAATTCAAGTGCTAGATGTGTAGTGACATATGAAAATGGCTACCTTGTACTCTGCTCTCAGAATCGTTCTTTTCAAACTCCATTTCAGCACACCATTCAAACCTTACAGTGGCACTCCCATGCCCAGTTAGTCAGATCCAAATTCCTCAGTTGGTATTTTATAGTCCCCCGCAAGCTCTCTAACTTCACTTTTCCCTCTGCTCTGATTGATGGTGATGATTGCTAGCTGAATTTCTGCAAGGCCCGCACATGACCTGACATGTGCTGATCCTCACCAACCTCATCTCCTTTCTCTCTGGCTCACTCTGCTTCAGTCACACAGGAGGGCGTTCATTCTGTTCATTAAAAACATCAGGCCTGTTCCTGCCTCAGGGCCCCTGCCCTCGCTGTTCCTTTTTTTTTGCAATGTTCTTCTCCGAGATTTTTTTTAAAAAAAATCCTGGCTTCTTTTCATCACTCAGGTCTCAGTTCAATTGTCCATTCTAGAGAGGCCATTCCTGAGTCTCCAGTTACTTCCAATCATATAATTTCATTACCTTTTCATCATTAGACATTCTGTCTACTCCTACTAGAATGTAAGCTTCATGTAAGTAGGGACTTCATTGTCTTGTCCAACACTGTGTCTCCAATGTCTAAAACCATGGATGACACTCAAGGAATTTTTGGTGACCACATGAATGGAGTTAGGATTTGAACTCAGGTCTGACTAACTCCAAAGTCTTGACCTTAACCCTTAAGCCTTAGTGTTTTCTAAGTCCTTTGTCTACCTCAATACAAAAACTCAACAATAAGAAAAACTGCAATTCTGACCATATCCACCTTGGGAAAAAAGCAAAACATAAATTCTAACCATTATCTGTAACAAGAACTTTATCTCTGGGATGCATGGATTTAGAACCATCCAACTTTTTAATGTTGGATGTTTTTTTCCAAAGAGAAAGGCATATTTATGAGCTGACCTCGCACTTAATCATTCTTGCCTCTGTGTACTGTGTGCCTTTTCCTAATTCCTAGAGAGCACTGTGAATTTCTCAGATGGTCTCTTATCTCTTTAGACATTCCCCCAACACTTTATCAGCACAACACCTTGGTAATAAGGTAGTGATGGCAAAGCTATGACAAAATATTACTATTTTAGATTCCAAACACCTTCCTTATACGTTCTAGTTTCTCTCTCTTATAAGCCCTTGACATGGCTAGTGCTATTGCACACTTTCCAGTTTACCTTCCATTTTATGGAATATCGGACAGGAAAGTTTTCATAAGGGTGAGATCAAGAGGTACTCTGGCAGGGGGAAGCTAGGGGCTGGGAAACAAGAGAGAACTGAGAGAGCAGCATTGAATTTTATCTTCACCTACGCTGACACCCTTGTCTAATGTTGACTACTATATTTCTTGGTATTAAGGATAATTTGTATTTCCTTCTCCATACATTCCTGTGTTTTCTAAGCAGTCTTCAACAAGCACATATAATTAATAAGAATACAAAATAATACATAATATTAAGTGATAAAAATCATCCCCTTCAAGGACGAGAACTTGACAGGTGTTGCCAAAGTTGAAATGGCATCTATTCGGAGCTATGGCTTACTTCCAAACAATGTCTGCTTGAGTGTTCCATAAAATTGGTCTATAGTAGATGAAAAGTTTCCAGACCCCTCAAACATGGAGCAAAGAGGCTGGAAGCAAGGGAACTGGAAAAGAGGGGGGCAAAAAAACGATAGCAGAAGCTGAACAAACCCATAAGAATCAGAAGCTAAGGTTTCTTAGGAACTCGCCAGAACAAGGAGGCAAAGACACTCAGCTAACAGACAGGAAGTCATCACTGTCCTTTGTCACTGAGGAAAGTAACCAGAGAAGCCCTGTTGGCCACAAGGCAATTTCCTGTAATGCCAGCCCTGGCAGTTTCCCCAGGAGTCTTCAATTACAGTGAGGTGGGAAGAGTGAAGGCAGGCTTCCAGGGAACATGACCAGACTAGACCTGAGAAGCCTCTGCTTTATCCTGGCATGTCTGGGGACACTCCACCCTCTGCTTGACCAGGCCATGTGGCTGGTGTCATTTCCACCTTGGAATGCTCTCCCTTTTCTCTCAAGATCAAACCCTTCTTATACCCAAGAAAATTAAAACTGGAAAGGCTTTGGGAGATCATCTAATACAGTGGTTCTTAACTCTATTCAAGCAGTACCTTATTATTTTTATTATAATTATTACTCTCCCTTGCCATCCTAAAAAGAAATTCATAGGAATAAGTTATAATAAAAATGGAAGGAAAAATTTTAAAAGCACATAGTATGCCCTAACTGTATTGCAAAGAAAAAAAAAAAAGAAGAAAAGTCATTTGTAATAAAAAGATATGTATTTCAATATATAAAAGCTCATACATGGCTATATTAGTAGATGTCATGAAGTGGTAGTCAGAGACCAACAGCTCTATAGAGAATTGCGATGAGTGTAACAGCCTGCTGACACAGAATGACACTGGGATGCAGTATTGATGATTCAAGTCTCATGAATGCAGTTGCTATTAGTAAGTGCAGTGATTCTCTCAAATGATAACTCATGGTGATGATCGTGGGTGGGGGGCGGGAAGTACAATCTTCCCTTGATTTACTGGGCAGTTTTATTCGAGAAAACCATGAAAAAATTCATTTCAATATATAAAATGTGTTTATGTTCTAGACTTCAATAATTATAAACAGAGTTTTCATCTCCATGAATATCCAGAGGTCTTCTCTATCCTTCAGGATGCATAGTATTCAGAACACCTATCATTCCTGGCAGCCACCAAGTAAGTGTTCCCGACTCCCTGATCATTTCGACAATCACGAATGGCTTCACAAATTGCAAAATACCTCCTGGGGTGTACTTTTGTTAAGAAGTATTGGTCTAATCCAAATCACCCATTTTACAGATGATAACACTGAAGAAGATTATTTTGACTTGGGTCACACTGTTAACAAGTGGATTCTAACGCTTCTGAACATAATGCAATATTCTTCCTACTGTTCCATACCTCTCAAGGCCAAATTTAAGTTCCATATTTTCCATGACCACTTCAGCTTCAGTGAAACACAACAATACTCACTAAGTCCCATTCACTGGCTAAGTGTCACATGTTGTTATGGGAGAGTCTTTGCAATGTTCCTAAGATTGCATAGCTGAGAGTCTTGTTTCCTCATCCAGACTGTAACGTTTATAAGGGAAAAGTCAATTTATTTTACTCCTTTGTATAAAACCACAGTGTTAAGGGGCAAACCTATGTTCTAGCCAATATCTGAGGCAGTATCCCTTAATTAGGAATATAAGTTCTGGAGTCAGTCTGTACAGGTTTAAATCCCAGCTCTAATATTTCCGAGTTGGATGAACTTAGGCAAGTGACTTTATCTCTCTGAAACTCAATTTTCCTACCTGTAAAATGAGAATGGCAACAGTATCTACTGTATAGAGTTTGACTGGAGGACTCAATAAGATTAAGCATGCAAAACAGTACCTGGATCATAGTATTCACTTAGTATCAGCTATTATTATTATATTAATATTAGCTATACTAGACTACTCAGCATTTTTTGCAACATTCTGGTCTTTCTCTGGAGCTCCTTATCGAGTGCTGTGCACTGGTATGGTCATGCCAGTTTGTCTATGGCTGATGTTCACTTTGTTTGGTCAGGATGTCCATTTGGATTTGTTGATGTCTGTATATGTAATTATCAGAATCAAGAACATAACCACATTTTATAAATTGAAATGAATTTTTCATGGTTTTATTGTTACTGAATAAAAATGCCTAGTAAATAAAGGTAAGATTGTACTTTTTCCCCCCAGATCACCACCACGAATTATTTGTCATTTCAGAGAATCACTGCACTCACTTAACTTTTCTTTTTTGAGACGGAGTCTCGCTCTGTCACTCAGGCTGGAGTGTAGTGGTGCGATCTGGGCTCACTGCAGCCTCTGCCTCCCAGGTTCAAGCCATTCTCTGCCTCAGCCTCCCGAGTAGCTGGGATTACAGGCACCCGCCACCACACCTAGCTAATTTTTGTATTTTTAGTAGAGACGGGGTTTTGCCATGTTGGCCAGGCTGGTCTCGAACTCCTGGCCTCAAGTGATCTTCCCACATCAGCCTCCAAAATTATTTTTAAATGCTAAAAATATTTAGCAATTAGAGTTAAAGGTTAGGGTTTGCTAAACCATAACCCTAAATATTGCTAAATATTTTAAATATAATCTCTACTCCACACATCTATCCTTTTGCTGATGCTGGTTCCTATGTCTAAAATGCTTTCCTACTCCCTTTACCACAAACAAAATTTCTATTCATTCTTTTAAACCCAGCTCAACCATCCTTTTGGTGAAGACACCCTTATACTCTGCCTCCTTCTCAGCAATTTCAGGAGCAGTTCTTACTCTCTTCTCTTTGCTGATGGAGTTTTGCAGTATTTTACTCAGTTTATTTGATTCTGCCTTCAGACTGGGATCGGAACCATGTCTTATGCTTCTCTGCAGCCCTGTCACAAGCAGATATTCAGTGAAGGGCTGTGAAATAACTGCTCTCAGAACAACTGAGTTACAAGTGTTAGAGATCAGCGTCACCTGGGATTCTTCCTTTCTCCTGGGTC